TGCTTAGTTATGGTTGATTTTTGTTGCCCTCTTTGCTCACTTTCTCACTCTAATTTCTGCTTTTTCTCTTGATAGGTGATGTTTCTTGTTTTATAGGGCCTTGTTCCTCGTTATCTCTTTCCTTTTGTTTCATAGGTTCTTATGCAATATTTTCTTCTTTTCAATGAAAACAGGCTCAACCCCTAATTTCCAAAAAAAAAAAATATAAATTGTGTTGCATTGTGATATGTTAGGGATGTGATACTATGAGGAGTTAGCGAGAAATTAATAAGAGCTATTGTTAAAAGCTTTCCAATATAAAGTTATCATTCACAACAAAGAAAGATTTTAGGAATTCGTATTTTTCAACTTGCTTAGGCAAAGAAGTGCATGTTAGATTAACAAAACAATTCAATCAAATTCCAAAGACAAGAGTAACTTTTATGAGGGCATAACAAAAATCTACAATTTAATAATGAGAGGTTTCACCGTGAGGACCTTCTCACTCATTCACTCGTGAGGTTTAGCGGAAGAACATACTCCACACCTGAAAAGAGATCACCACCAGGAAGAAGAAGCCTAAGAACTTCGTTGATGGAAAGGTTGTCTGCGACGGATGGATTGGTGGGCGTCCCTCAATCGACCATAATCCGATTGGGAGGTGCTCCTCAATTGCTGGTGCCAACGTGAAGGTGATGCGGTCAGTGTAGCCTTCCATGGAGTTGTCGACGTTCAAGTTCAAATCGAAGAAGGTAGATCGAGGAATGTCTATCCTTCCTTGGTTATCACATACGAACCTGAGATCAACGCCGGGATCCGCCATCCATGGACTAGGAGGAGTTCTTCATTCTTCGTGGCCTTTTGGGTGGGGGGGTGTTGGGTTGGAGAATTGGGGTGGAGAAGGGAAAGGGAGGGGTTTAGAAAATCTGAAGTTAAATTCATATTTCACTAAGAGAGGGGAGGGATCAATTTGAATTTCAAAATTATCCCAATTTGGGCTATAATGGGGCTGGCAGTTTGGGAGGGAATTAAGGGGAATATTTAATGCGAATTAAGGGAGAATTGGAGAGAGGGGCCGGCCTTATAGGGGGGGGGGGGGGGGGGGAGCATGGATGTGTCTAGGATTCGATGTATGGGCCCGGGGAGGATTGAATTAGGGATTGTCATTAAATTCGAAATTGATTTCAGATTCAATATAATTGATAGGTTTCCTAATTTAAGTTGGTTAATAGGGAAAGTTTTGAAATTCAAATGAGGCAACTTTTCCAATTAATAGTAGGATAAATTAGGAAAGTAATTAAGATTGATTTGAATTTGAATTTTGAAATTCAAAATTCAAGGATCATGGTAGGGAGAGGCTGGTAGCTAGTGGAGGCTAGGGGACGCTGACGGTGAAGGGGCTAGGGGAAATCGGCGGCGAACGGATAAGGGGAGGTCGGCAGCTTAGGTAGATGGCGAGGGTGGCGGGTTAGGGAGAGAAAGGAGCGGGGTAATTGATCACTTTTCTAATATGGATTATGTCAATTTAGGAAAGAATTCAAAATATGAATTTGAAATTAGATTTTGAATTGGAGTTCCTTCCTAATCTTCATGCTCCACTTTGGGAAAGAGGCAAGATAATCAATTGTGGATCCATGAGAGGGGAAGCCCGGCAGTTAGGGTTTGGGTGGCGTTTGACTAAGGAGGAATGAGTATGGGTTAATTGGAAGGGATTTTGTTGAGGTTGACCAGCAGCTCTAGGACTTGAAGTGGCCGGTGGGTGTTTGGGGAGGAAGAGGTGGCCAGATGTAGGAGAAAGGAAAAAATTATAAGAAAATACTACGAGTACTAACCGCGAGTCCCGGAATCCACCGACGGCAGACGAGTGTTGCAAGGCCTTCTCATAGGGTTTCTCCTCTCATGAACACACAAAGAGATCAAACATGAAAAACTGGAATTTTTCATTCATAATCATCATTAACCTCATAAGAGGGGAAAGATGGCTATAAATAGGCCCCATAAAAGAACAAAACAAAAGACCAAATTATCCCTTGTGGTTACATGTATCTAGTCTCTCAAGTGAGGGTAAAAATGGAAAATAACATTAAAATAATAAAATTACAATACATTAATCAGAAATAAAAGATGCGAGCCTAGCCATAGATCTTCGATGTTTCCTCGCACTAGAATATCCTGTAGATGTCCTCATCAGTTAAATTCAACATCTTTGCTAAAACATCACAAATTGGTTATGCAAATGAGACTTTGCTATAGCCAGTAAGAAGTATATTGGAATTTTTTTAATTTACTTATATCCCTTGAAATTATTGATTGGAGAAGTTAGAGCAAAATCTCTAACTACGTTAGCAATCAGGGCTGCAATTGTAGCTCCAAAAATGAATACTTCAGTTCAAGAAAAGGTCAATAGGAATTGTAGCCACTATTGAATTCAGATTTTTCTAAAAGAGGGGAGGGATATATTTGAATTTCAAAATTATCCCAATTTGGGCTATAATGGGGCCGACAGTTTGGGAGGGAATTAAGGAGAATATTTAATGTGAATTAAGGGAGAATTGGAGAGAGAGAGAGAAAAGCCGGGGGGGGAGGTGGGTGCTTGGATGTGTCTAGGTTCGATGTATAGGCCCGGGGAGGATTGAATTAGGGATTGTCATTAAATTTGAAATTGATTTCAGATTCAATGTAATTGAGAGGTTTCCTAATTTAAGTTAGTTAATAGGGAAAGTTTTGAAATTCAAATATAATTTGAATTCAAATGAGGCAACTTTCCCAATTAATAGTGGGATAAATTAGGAAAGTAATTAAGATTGATTTGAATTTTGAAATTCAAAATTCAAGGATCATGGTAGGGAGAGGCCGGCAGCTAGTGGAGGCTAGGGGAGGCCGGCGGTGAAGGGGCTAGGGGTAATCGGTGGCGAGTGGATGAGGTGAGGTCGGCAGCTTAGGTAGGTGGCGAGGGTGTCGGGTTAGGAAGAGAGGAGCGGGGTAATTGATCACTTTTCTAATATGGATTATGTCAATTTAGGAAAGAACTCAAAATATGAATTTGAAATAAGATTTTGAATTGGAGTTCCCTCTTAATCTTCATGCTCCACTTTGGAAAAGAGGCAAGATAATCAATTGTGGATCCATGAGAGGGGAAGCCCGATAGTTAGGGTTTGGGGTTTGGGTGGCATTTGACTAAGGAGGAATGGGTATGGGTTAAGTGGAAGGGATTTTGTTGAGGTTGACCAGCAGCTCTAGGACTTGAAGTGGCCGGCGGGTGTTTGGGGAGGAAGAGGTGGCCGGATGTAGGAGAAAGGAAAAAAATTATAAGAAAATACTACGAGTACTAACCGCGAGTCCCGGAATCCACCGGTGGCAGACAGGAGTTGCAAGGCCCTCTCCTAGGGTTTCTCCTCTCAAGAACTCACAAAGAGATCAAACAAGAAAAGCTGAAATTTTTATTCATAATCATCATTAACCTCATAAGAGGGAAAAGAGGGCTATAAATAAACCCCATACAAGAACAAAACAAAAGACCAAATTACCCCTTGTGGTTACATGTATCTAGTCTCTCAAGTGAGGGTAAAAATGAAAAAAAAAACACTAAAATAATAAAATTACAATGCATTAATCAGAAATAAAAGATGCGAGCCTAGCCATAGATCTTCGATGTCTCCTCGCACTAGAATATCATGTAGATGTCATCATCAGTTAGATTCAACATCTTTGCTAAAACATCACAAATTGGTTATGCAAATGAGACTTTGCAATAGCTAGTAAGAAGTATGTTGGAATTTTTTGAATTTATTTATATCCCATGAAATTATTGAATGGATAAGTTAGGGCAAAATCTCTAACTACGTTAGCAATCAGGGCTACAATTGTAGTTCCAAAAATGAATACTTCAGTTCAAGAAAAGGTTCAATATGGGTAAAATTGTGGCCCAATAATTACTAAACATAACTTCTATGTTATAGCATATAATTGCATATGCTTTTTCAGGTATTTAACAAGTAGTTGATTGATCATGAGAGAAAAACAACTACTTTGTGGGCTCACAAAAGAGCTAACTTAACTGTCACATGACATAACTTGACAATGAACCACATAAACATTCAAAAATCATTTTGGATTACTCAATGGTTCCTATGGATTGCTCAACTCACCACTCGCCTCCTGGGGGATTAGCCATCAATGTTGTTCTCCCCTACCTATAGCAAAGTACCATAAATTATGCTCGCTACCTCTGTCATAGGAAAGTACCTACTCAAGAGGGTTTTAGCTTTTCCTATCATAACAAGCCGACTGTGAAGTCCATCTTCCATGCAACTGAAGCTCACTTTCCTTTCACTCTCAGGTGATCTAGAGCAACTTTGAAGTGCTCGCCAATCATAGATGTGTCTATTTAGGACTTGTTAACACAATCGCTCAGGCCTACTAACCCGCACACACTTGACACTACTAACCTCTCCATGAATCACAAAATCACGGTCAATATAAAGCAATATCCCCTCTAGACTCTAGCCAGCCATAATGTCATACGCGTGCGTCTAAAGCAGTTTGTATTAAGAGTCACTAAGCTTGTATTTTTTTATTCATTTTATTTGATGTAGCCTTTAACACAACTCTTAGATCCTTATAAATAATAGATGAAGATAAATATTTTGAATCTTTTGCATCGTTGACATCCTGTGATATTTGTATTATGGATATTTGAGCTAGTAACTAGTCTCTAGTCTCTCTTCATATTGACAAAAGGTTCTAAAGTCATACTCATAGAGCTTGCATGCTAATAAAATTGGTTGTTATTTATGAATAATTTAAATCTAACACATTAAAATAACATACTTTTAAATTTATTACTTACTATTAAAAAATCCTCATTAGCTGGTCGATTCTTTCTGATGGTAATTAAACTTTTTTTTTTTTTCAATTTTAAAGCTGTTGATCGTGAAAATAAAATTTAATTTTAGATAAAATTCAATACCCCACGTGAACAACGAAAATTCAACATGTTTCTCCCCAAATTTATAGCAATAACCGCAGCGCCGCAGCGGGATCAGCCAGACTCAGCTGTTTCTGATCGCCTAACTCCAATCGCGGCAATCTCTAGCAGTCGCAGTCCACTGTTCCTTTTTTTTTTGGGGAATAAATCCACTCCTCTAGGACAATAACAATGGCCACTTCCATCGAGCTCCACGCCTTCTTCCACCTCAAGCCTTCCCCTTCGGCTTCCTTCCTTAGGCAAAGGTCGCACCATTCGAGATTTACGTGTCAGTCAAATGGGCCGGCAACGGCAGCTCCGTCAGTTCCAGCCGCCCATGTGGATTCTGACCCTCGCAAGCAGGAGCGTACCGCTGTGCGTCTTGGCCTCCCCAGTAAGGGTCGCATGGCTGAGGAAACCCTAACCCTCCTCAAGGTACCTTTTTTTCCAGTTCGGTCACAGCTTTTCCTTGTGTTCCTTATAATGCCAGTTTCTTTGGTGCTGGTCCTTGCAGAATTGCCAGTTAATGGTGAGGCAGGTGAATCCGCGGCAATATGTGGCCGACATTCCGCAGGTGAATGGTATCATTTGAACTTTCTTGCTGAGTTATTCAGTTTTAGAATGCGCGTTATTGGCTTGATCGTCATGTTACGATTCGTGTGATTCTGGAGTCCCTCTGGTTTCGAATATGTATGAAGAAATTTTGTCATGGCTCGTTTTCATATGGGCCGAGTTTGATTTTAAAGGAATTAACTAAATGAAGTGAAATTAGGCCTTTTGTGGTTTAATTAAGAAAGCATTGACACTGATTTTAGAATTAGTGTCCTTATCTTTACTTGTTTATCACTTTCTCAACTTACGGGCATAGTTTTAGCGCAGGATTTTTACTAGGGGATAGTTAATGGATAGGGATTTTAACTTGAGACGTGGTAAGTGTTGAAAGCACTGCATATCTTTGCATAAGCCGGACGAAGTGAAGAGCTATGATATGGCCAAAATTAACTCGCTTTATCCTGTTTGTCGGTGGTTTTTAGAAAATTCTAGCTTGTTCTTTCTGGCAAAGCCCTAGCCTTTCTTTTGCCAAGCTTTACAGCTCGTTGCATTGCGATTGCCTGTTGGATCGAACTGTTGTTGTAGAGTGGTTGTATTTTGACTAGCAAATGGTGCATCTCCATTTCTTTTGTTGTTTGAATCATTTCAACATTATTTTTTATGGTGTGGTTAGTTTTTTGTCTTTTTTATCTCACTTCTGATGATGCCTTTATTAAATCCTAGCTATGGGCAAACAAAGCATGCCAATGTGAAGTTTTTTTCCTCACTAATCCTTGATAAGCTTCTTGGACTTGCAATGTAAGTTTGATATTTGACTCTTCTATGGTAAATTATTTAATTTTTGGCCTAGCATTTATGCTATCATCTATTAATTGTTGGTTCTGTGTGGAATTTGATGTGTTGATCAATCGGTTGTGCTATTGCCTCAGACCTCAAATTAATTTTTCATGCTTGCTAGGGTGTTGACAGCACACAGCTTCGAAATTCCACGAAGTGAATGTTAAGCTTGCTAATGGCAGAGCACCTGAATAATCTGAATATTGTGATGAGTCAATTGTGTTAAGTGATATCAAGTTTGATGATGAGGTGAGAGTGTTGCTGCTGTTATTTTCATTGTCAGAAAGCTGGGATGGGCTTGTTACTGCTGTGAGTGACTCTTTAGGAAATTCGAAGCTGAACTATAAGGATATTGTGGGGTTAGTGCTTAATGAAGGGGTTTGTAGGAGGGAAAATGGTAAATTTCCTAATTCTGCTCTGAATGCTGAAGTAAGAGGAAGGTGTTTAGAGATAAATCCAATTAGAGGAAGATCTAAATCAAGGAGAGAAAATTCTACATTAGATAGAGGGAAAGTTGTGTGCTGAAGCTGTGGAAAGAAGGGTCACTTTAAGAAGAACTGTACAGTTCCAAAGAAGGGCTGTGATGGAAGTCAAGATAAAAATTGCTTTGCAAATATATATGCAGAAGAGTATCAGTTCGATTCTCTGATTTTATCTTTGGATAATTCTGAATCTTAGGTTCTAGATTTAGGTGCTTCTTTTTATACAAGTCCTAACAATGAGGTATTCAAGAACTATACTCAAGGTGATTTGGGTAAATTGTATCTGAGAGACAACAAGTCTTCCAATATTGTTGAACAATGAGATATTGATATCAAAATGTCGTATAGGTCAATTTGGAGACTCAAGAATGTGAGACACATTCCCTGTTTGAAGAATAGTTTAGTTTTTATGAGTCAGCTTGCAAACTCAAGCCATATGACATCATTCACAGTAGATTCGTGGAAGGTAGGCAAAAGGGGTGATGGTTATAGTTTGTGGCAGTATTGAAGACACACTATATATTATCAATAAAAGATCAGATTCTATTGAAGTAGTTGATTCAGATGTTGATAGAGGTTTTTGGCATCGAAGGCTTGTCCATATGAGTGAGAAATGTATACATTCACTTCATACTAGAGGAAAGCTTTTTGGTTTAAAATCTATAAATTTGGATTTTTGTAAAGTTTGTGTATATGACAAGCAACATGGGGTGAGTTTTTAAAATCTTGATTTAAAGATCAAGTTAAAGAAATTGGAGTTAGTGCATACTGATGTATGGGGACTTGCTCCAGTTACATCTATAGGAGAATAATTGTATTTTGTTACTTCTATTGATGATCACAGGTTCACAGTAGAAGGGCATGGGTGTACTTCTTAAAACATTAAGTCAGATGCGTTTGATGTTTTCAAGAAGTGGAAGGCCGTGATTGAGATTGAGATAGGTTTGAAGCTTCAGTGTCTTAGATCATATAATGGTGACGAGTATCGTGATAAGATGTTCAAGGAGTATTGTGCTTTGAATGAGATCAGACATGTGTTCACTATTCCAAAAATACTATAGCAAAATGTTGTTGTAGAGCGCATGAATGGAACTATCATTGAGCGTGTCAGGAGCATGAGGCTGCATGCAGATCTACCAAAGCAATTCTGGGCAGAGCTAGTGAATACTGTAGTTTATCTAATCAATCGTGGTGCTTCGGTCCCTTTAAATGAGGGGTTACGTGAGGAAGCCTAGAGTGGAAAGGAGTTAAGTTTAGCTTACCTCAGAGTTTTTAGTTGTTAATCCTATGTTCCTATTGATGTAGAATCTATGAGTAAGCTTAATTCAAAATCTATCAAGTGTACATTTATTGAATATGGCTCGGCTGAATTTGGCTACAAAATTTGAGATTATTATAATAAAAAATTCATCAGGAGCAATTATGTCAAATTCAGTGAAAATGAAATGTACAAGAATAGAAGTGAGACTCCTGAATATTATTCCAAATATATTAGAGAATGATGATGTTGATCAAGAAGACAAATTTGATGAAGCACAGAAAGTATCCTAGACTCCTACTGAAATTAGGAGATCCACCGGAATATCAATACCAGTACAAAGGTATTCTCCTTCCTTTTATTATCTATTGCTAACAGATAGTGGTGAACCAGAGTGTTATGATGATGCCATTCAAGTTGATGATTCAAAGTGGGAGCAAGCCATGGATGATGAGATGTATTCACTTGAGTTGAATCAGATTTGGGAGTTTACAAAGCTACCAAGTGGCAATAAAGCACTGTAGAACAAGTGGGTTTATAGACTGAAAGAAGAACCTGATAGTAGCAAGCGCTACAAGGTCAGACTTGTAGTTAAAAGTTTTCTGCATAAGGAGTGAACTTCACTGAAATTTCTTATTAGTGGTGAATATGAATATAATAGGAGTTGTATTGAGCATGGTAGCATTGAAGGATTTACATTTAGAGCGACGACATTTCTTTATGATGACCTTGATGAAGAGTTGTATACTTTCCACCAGCTAAGAGGGAAGTGCAAAACACCTGTAAATTCAAAGGCATTGTTTTTGTTCTGATGAATATTATCTTTTACCAACTATAAGTTCTTTGTTTGAGCTTTGATTTTGGATAGCTTATGCTAATTTATCACCCTGATGATAGAAATTCTCTCAATTGTACGATAAATGATGATTAGCATTTTTTTTCTCTAGCTTTCAAACCTTGAGGTTTGGTTTCAAAGGCCGAAAGACATAGTGCGTAAATTGCAGTCAGGAGATCTTGACCTTGGCATTGTGGGCCTAGATACAGTTTGTGAGTATGGACAGGTAATCGTCATGATAAAAGCCGCTCCATACTATCATCGCTTTTTTTCTTTACTTTATTCTTTGCAGGGGAACGAGGATCTTATTTTAGTGCATGATGAGCTTGAATATGGAGATTGCCGTTTATCCATTGCAGTAAGTCCACTTCTAACCGTTGAAATTTTGATAAATTTGATTTAGATGTTTAATTTATATATATTCATAATTTCATTTTTTTTTTCTTAATGATTTTGACGCTGATCCTACCAGATTCCTATGTATGGGATTTTTGAAAATATAAATTCTCTGGAAGATTTAGCAAAAATGCCACAATGGACAAATGAAAGGCCTCTGCGTATTGCAACTGGATTCACATATGTATGCAAGCAAATTTTATTTGCTTCTTATAATGTAGCTTTAAATGCTTGAGTACAGATAACTGAGAGGTTTTAACATCCAGCTTGGTCCGAAATTTATGAAAGATAAGGGTCTGAAACACGTTAGCTTCTCAACAGCTGATGGCGCACTTGAGGCAGCTCCAGCTGTAAGAATTTGACTTCCTGTTGGAATGTACAGTTAGTTCTAATCATAGATTATGTAAACCTAATTCGCTCGTATAATCTCGAAAAGCATGTTTACCTAAATTTTTTTACTGATGCTTTCTATGTAATTGTCATTAGGGCTTGTTTATATTTTCTGTTTTTAATTCCTGGAGAACAGTAACAAAGTTTGAAATCATCTTAATTGAACTTTTTTTTTTTTAATAATAGGCTTATTTCCTAAAATTCAGGAAACTCCCATTTGAAGTTTCTTCACTTGTTTTCAAAAGACTCTTTTAGTAAAGCAAGCCTTTATTTACATTAAACAACTACTTATTGGCATCAAATAGATAAATCTACACAAAGCCATACAGGAGATGAATAGTTTTTATATACATACCTCTATCTCCTTCTCCCTTTCTAAACGCACGTAATTACCATTTATATCATCAGTTTAGGAACTTAGATTAAATAGCTTAGCTCAATATGAAGATGAAGACAGCTAGAAGAAAAACTACAAAGTAATAGCAGTGGATCAAATAACAGCTAGTTTAATCTCAAGATACTCTGTAATAGTTATGATACGTAGTTAAGTCATGTTTGAGAAATCTTTTAATACATCTTATTACCTGCAGAAAATTTGATCTAAACCTTGTGCTATGGAATCCATAAATATTTAACTTACAAAAATTTATTTTAAAGTGCTTTTTACCAAAAAGCAAAAACAGAAACTACAGCAGTTATTAACCTGTTTTCTTACATCCAAATCATCTTAATTATTATTTTAATAGTTCATGATCATTTAAATTATGAACTTTTGTCATAAATATACATGGACATAATTTATTTGTAGATACTATTAATATAGGGTTTATAAAAATTATTATTATTTTCTAAATGCTCTTTTATTTGTATCAGTGATATTTTGAAAAATAAAATAATTGGAAAAATGTTTTAGATAATAATATTATTGGCAATTTATTCACAACTTGCCAGCCAAAACATTTGGGCTAGTGGCTTCTAAATTTATTACATGGTGTTTTACTAGTTAACTCAAAGGTTTTTATGACACATTTCTTAAAATAAACGCCATTGTCTATATTCATAAATAGTTGATTCTGTCTGAAACGTGAATTGTGCTTGCTTGTCCCACTTATTTGTGACAATTGACTCCAGTCTAGCACAATTTGTAATATTCTATGGCAGTTTAAATAGTGGCTACTGTAGAAATGATCTTATCATATTTTCTTTTCCTTGAAACCTCTTAACTTATGGCTTATTTCTGCAGATGGGAATTGCTGATGCTATTCTGGATCTTGTGAGCAGTGGAACAACTTTGCGTGAGAACTATTTGAAAGAAATTGATGATGGGACTCTGATAGAGAGCCAAGTGCGTGCTGCTTATGTTGGCTAAATAGAAGGCGTAACTTCTATGCTTGTGCTTTTGTGTGGATAATTAGTTTGAGTTTATGCAGGCTGTACTTGTTGGAAGCAAGAAATCTTTGAGTCATCGTGCAGGTGTACTGGATATTACCCATGAAATTCTTGAGAGACTAGAGGCACACCTGAGGGCAACTGGCCAATATACGGTAGTACCAGTATTTCATTGTGTATATATTCATATTTCCAATTTCAAACTCAGTTTTTTCTACTGCTAGCTTTAATTTCATCTGTTTTGAATTGCAAGGTCACTGCTAACATGAAGGGAAACAATGCTGAAGAAGTGGCTGAGAAAGTTCTTGGTCAAGCATCATTATCTGGATTGCAGGTAAATTTTTTTGTGCGGTCCAGTTTTTCATGTCTTTCGATAAGTGGCAAATAATTTTCATTCATCAAAACTGAAATTACAATGCATGAGGCCTCATATAAATAGGCCAAAATGAGAAAATAAGAAATGACACAAATGCCCTCCGGGCTACATAAGCGACTAAATGCCCATAAGGGCAAAAGCGGAAAACATCAAAATAAAATACGCTACTATATAAGATGACAAAATACAAGTCATGCTCGTGTCCGTCGATCTCCGGCGTCGAAAATGCTAACGATGTCCTCATCATCGTCCTTGCTCAATGTATTCATGAAAATGCATATGAAGCAGTTGGTTTCCGAACTTTCATTTCTCAATCACAACCATAAAAGAATCAATCCTATTTCACTTGTTGAGCACTTCTGAATATGTTCTAATAGAGATGCAAACTTAATCGATGGGATAGAACCCTTTCCTTTTATTTCCAAGGATGGATGATGCGGGATATTGGCTCCCAACTGTACATATTGAAGGGGTCACCAGCAGTTATCCTGGCAGTATTTGTTTTTTAACTTTTTTTTTTTCCTGTGGCTGTTGGTTTGGTCATTGATTAGGTATGACGTGCCTGCTGTTACGATGTCCTAGGTGAAATTTTGCTGCTGGTTTTGACTGTTCAATGCAGGATGTATGTTCTTTTGTTTAACATTTGCAGGTTTTACGGAATGTCTATTGCAATTTGCAGCTAGCTATGTGCTCCAAAAATTCACGCCCTGACCTCTCTGCGCCTTTTTAATTGATGGAGAGATCTTTAACGAGACTAGGTTACGGGATAAATTTTCATAAGGTAGATTATATTTTAGATAAAGTACTACTTAAAGATTTCTCCCTTATGTGGTGAGGACTTTATGATTTGAAGTCTGGTTTTCCATTTGTGCAAACTCCTATGATTAATTACCCCCAATAAAGAGAACATTTTCGATTTCGGTTAGATGGACACTAAGTACCCGGCGTATGGTAGCCACTGGCTTAATGATTTGGGCTTTGAATTTGGATTTTAGGGCTCCATATTCACTAATGGAATCATTGTTGAATAGTAAAATTCTTGTTCGGTAGTAGCAATAGCTGGCTTCGTATTTATCATTATCTGGATTGCAGGTTTAGCCAGGTTTTGTTTTCAGGTTTACTGATAATCCCGCCCCCTTGGGGTGTGGTCCACTGCCTAGGGAAGAGAGAGAGAGGGGTATGTCTAGTCCTTTTGAGTGAAATTTATGTTTTTTTTTTTGAGTTAATTTTATGTTTGTTTTAAGTAGAAGTTTTGTATTAGGGTTAGGATATCATGTTTGTTTGCGGAATTTGGTATGGAAAGTTTTGGTGTCTTGGTCTCTAGCGGAGACTAGAGAATTGGGAGAGAACGATTCTCCTGTCGAATTGAGGATCAATTGTATCTCGGTATTTTCCTTCTATTTCTTCCATTATTGCTAGTTTCCTCGCTTTTTGCTTGATTTTTTTGAAGTATTGTGGTGAAAAATCACTGAAATCTCATATTGGTAAGAAACACCGGTGTGTACTAGTGTTTCCTATCATTTACCTACCCTTTTTGGGCTTCTTCCTTTTTGTGTATAATTACTGCTGTCGTCTGTCCTCTTTCCACTGATATACCAGACATTAATGTTTTTAAGACCATTTGGAAAATGAACAAGTAGTTACCGTTTCGTTTTCATTTACAGAGTACCAAGTGGACAGAATCTTCCCACCTGTTTCCGTTATAAATTGATTTCCTATGCCAGGGGAGGAACTTTTTAACGTGTTATGCGCTTGACTTCCTATTTTTTTACAATATGCTGTGCTCATTATTAATAGTGATAATTTTCTTCACTCGAATCATTTTTTGATGCACTTATCTTCTGTTACACAGCATAATCTTAGTCTTCAGCCACATGGCTTAATCCTTTTATTATAATAGTAATACACCATACTGATACAATTGGCGCTTACAGGTCGCATAAGCAGAGGGGCGAAGCAAGTTGTTATGATAGTATTCTATAAATCTTCTTAAATTTTATTAAACTATCCATCTTTTTCATAAGAAGTGGAAAGATTTTTTGAAGTTCATTAAATAATCCATTGCTTTAGTAGGAATGATATGTGTTAGAGGGCAAAACCCCTTGATATTCTTTATCAACCTAATTCATTTTGCTCCTTGTGATCATGAACTCTGTTATGACCATTAGAAACATTGACTTTTATTTGGGGAATATATTCCATCTTAATACTTTGATGAGCTTTTTTCTTATTTGTTTATGTGTTTGATATTCTTTGGGATTCTTGAAAACAGGGTCCTACTATAAGCCCAGTATACTGCAAGTCTGATGGCAAGGTCAAAGTGGAGTACTATGCAATTGTCATCTGTGTCCCCCGAAAGGCTCTTTATAAGTCCGTTAAACAGCTGCGATCTGTGAGATATCTTTCTTTAACTGTTATAGCCTGGTCTTCTGTCAGTGCATATTTATATATTTAATTTATCTGCCAACATAATACATTCTTTTTATGCAATTGCTGAGCATGAAATATTTGGGGTTTTCATACATGCCATTGAATTCTTAAGTATTTATATATTTAACATCCAAATTTTTATATATATTAATATCGCATCTAAATATTTTAATGGCATTAAATATATCACTTAGATTAATTTCGTGTAGAAGTTTTAATGCCATTTAAATACTAGGATATTGTATAAATAAATATAATTTTTTTTATATTAGATACATAACTATATAACTCCTGTGATATATAAGTAAATCACAAAACTTGTATTTTCCTGTTTTAATTATTAGCAAATATCGAAATTAAATCAATGAATGTAGAAACATATCCTTAAATGATCAGCACTGTTTTGTGTGATAGACATTTGTGTGAAGTAGCAATGGAACTTTTGTTTGGTATAATCCAAACAAAATTTGAAGGTTTCTTATTATTATCTTTTTTTAGGCTTTTGCATTCCTATCAATACATTATTTTGTTTTCTTGAGCAATTGTCAAACAAGAAATCTTTCATTGAGATCTAATATTAGGATTAGTTTAAGGTTGTGTATAATCACTTAGCTCATCTTTTCCTTCAAAGCTAATACTAATTAAGCCCTGCATTGAGTATCCGTACCCACACCAACTCACGTACCCACCCACGTACCCATCCATACCCAATGGGTATGGGTATGTCTATTACCACGTGGGTGTGTATAGGTGGGTACTCAACATCGAGGGATAAATCGATTGACATTGCTAATCACCATATGTCATATATTGCCGCAATCCTCACCGCGCAATGCGCAATACTGAACCATGCTGCAACCACTGTTAATGATGATATGCAAGGAAGTTTGCAATCATAGCAAAGGGTAACAAGCCTCAAGGCCATCAATCCGTGACAGACTACGTTCCAAAATCATGGAAAGTGAATGGGCATGGGTGGGTACGGCGCCCTAAAGCAACCATGGGTGGGTGTGGGCGGAAGGGCGGGCGCCAACCCGCATAGTGCGTGGGTACCTAACCAAGATCGGTGCAGGGCTCTGATACTTATGCAATCCATGAAAGTAAAATTCTGAAATAATCACATTAGTTTTCTTAGGATGTGTGGATAACTTCTCTGTTAAGAGATTTTTTGTACTCATTTGACTAAATTTTGTTTTGATAATTCCAACTTAGTATGGCTTCTTGTTCATGCAGATTGGTGGTAGTGGAGTGCTAGTTTCACCCCTTACCTACATTTTTGAGGAAGAAACTCCAAGATGGCGAAGACTTCTTGAGAAACTCGGGATGTAACTAGTCATTTTGTTGTAGTTTGCCGTATTTCCTTCTTGTAAAATGATCGTGGTTGCTTAGTGTCTAAGCAATGGCTCGTTAGGCTTGGAAATATTTTATGCCAACTGTTTCCTGTTTAGTTTTCCAATGGCTAAATATTGCAAATTTGGTTCCTTTGTTCCCTGTTTTGTATCCTGAAAATTTGAAATTCAGATTCAATAATACTTGAAATTTATGTGATAGAATAACTCGATTAAAATTGTATATAAAGAAATTCTGTTGTATTAATCTATAAATCAATTTAATAATTTAGGCTTCGTTTGGGATAATTTTTTTTTTATTTTTTAAAATAGTTTTCTAATATAAAAAGTTTTAGTTTAGAAAATTTTGTACTTAAAAACTATGTTGAGAAGTAGTAAGAAAATTGTTCCAAATAAAACTTTATATAGAATATTTTAAATTATTTCTATTCAGTCTTATTGTTTATAAATGGCCTTTGGATTAGTAAATAAATGATGCAATGGATTGTGAGGTATAGGTTGTGTCATTATAATGAGAAATTATTCTGTGGGGTCCAAATGGAAAGAATAGTTCGGATTGTTATATATTAATTGAATATTTATAAATAATTAATAAATACTCAATAAATATGCAGTAAATCATCAAATATTCAGTAATTGTTTACAAAATGTTTAGCTAATAATTAATAAATATTCATAAAATATTTAGTGATACTTACCATTTAATATTTATAAATGTGCAATAAATATTTAATAAATATATAATAAATTTAGACGATTCTTTCAATTCGGACTTCACATTTGAATGTAATAATTTCTTCGTTGCAAAAGAGTTCTAAAATTCTATTGCTCTCCATAATTCTAAGCCCTCAATGTTATAGAGCTGATATTTAGTTGTCATATCAAATATGCTCAAGGAGAAATTAATAACTTGATTCAAATAATAAATGAAATTTATGTTTATTTGATTGAATGAATCAAATTTCTTAATATCACAAACTTCAAATGTTTAGTGAAATTTTTATTTTTCTTAATTAGGTTAGAGGAATTAATACCAACTTCTTTCTTTCCCAACAGAGATTTCATTTTTCTGACTGTTTAGGGCTGGTGGGAGGCTTAGATAAGAAAGAACAAAGTAACAAATGATCCCTTTATGAGAATAGATTTTTAGTTAAGGATATATAGCCTTAAAATTTCTCGGTATTAATTAATATATACTAACACAGTATTAGTATCAAATAATACTGAGCTAAATTACTAAGCTGCTCTAACCTGAAAATCTCTCAGATCTAAGCTTTCCTCCCTGCATGAACAGATCTAAGCTATGATTCTAATTCTATCTTCTTGATTTGAAATCTTTGAAGGATTATAAGAGATAGGTAGTCCTAGATCTGAGAGATTTTCAGGTAAGAGCAGCTTAGTAATTTAGCTCAGTATTATTTGATACTAATAATGTGTTAGTATTAATTAATACCAAGAAATTTTAAGCCTTTGTCCCTGCATGAACGGATCTAAGCCATGATTCTAATTTTATCTTCTTGATTTGAAATCTTTGAAGGATTATAAGAGGTAGGTAGTCCTAGATCTGAGAGATTTTCAGGTAAGAGCAGCTTAGTAATTTAGCTCAGTATTATTTGATACTAATACTGTATTAGTATATATTAATTAATACCGAGAAATTTTAAGGCTATATATCCTTAATTAAAAATCTCTTCTCATAAAGAGATCCTTTGTTACTTTGTTCTTTCTTATCTAAGCCTCCCACCAGTCCTAAACAGCCAGAAAAATGAAATCTGTGTTGGGAAAAAAAGAAGTTGGTATTAATTCCTCTAACCTAATTAAGAAAAATAAAAATTTCACTAAACATTTGAAGTTTGTGATATTAAGAAATTTGATTCATTCAATCAAATAAAGACAAATTTCATTTATTATTTGAATCAAGTTATTAATTTCTCCTTGAGCTTCTTTGAGTGTAACCTTCAACTTTCATTTTTTTTTGGTAGTTATCAACTAGTGTCACTGAATTATTCGTGTCGTGCTATTTTTTTTATTTATTATTATTTTTTGGAAATTTTAGTATTAATTTAAAAATGCCTCTCTAGGTCCTCTTAGCCACCAACATAATGCTGAAGATTAATTTATGCCAGCTCTTTTCAATAACATGGCCATTGTTCGATAATTACTACTAACAAGTTTTTTTTTCTAGTGAAACTTTACAACTGGGCGAGGCCCCATGGTTTTTTCCCTTTTTGGGGTTTTCCACGTAAAAACCTTGGTGTTCACTTTCTCTTTTCTGTTTGTGTGTGAAATACCCGTGCAACGCTAGGACGCGAATTTACAAACTCTACCGCCGCGTATATTCTCTCACGCAACAATTCTTATACTTTATGGATGACAAGTAAGTTGGTTTTTTTTTGGGGAAATTCAGCTAAATATGATTGGTAGTACAAATAAGTATTCCCATAAAGATCTCATAGATCTTATATCTAAAGTTATAGATGTTGATGAAAAATAATTTATCCTGAAATTAAATGTGATGTACCGTTTGGATAGAGCTGATCAATATTTTTAGTTACTTTAATTGAGCTAAATATGATAAAAAAAATTTTGGTATTCATCTCCGATAAACAAAATAGTACGTCAATGTTTTATCAACAAATTTATCAAAGGCACGCAATAGAGTTTGTACTCATCACCTCACAATGAATAACATTGATGAAGTTTAAAATTGATACTGTGGGCTCCAAAAATTCGCTCCTCGGCCTCTTCACGACTCATTTCTCTTTTTTGGGTCATTGAGGAGAGTTTTAATGTTTCATGTTAATTCCGAGACAAATTTTTAGAAGGCTGATTTGGTTTTGAATGAGAAACTACCCTGAGATTTCACCCTCATTTTGCGAAGACTTTATGATCTGAGTTCAAGTTTCATGTAGGCGTAAGTCCATATAATTAATTATACCTCCCGATAATGAGAGAGAACTTTCGATTAAGACTAGTATCCATGAAACATTATGCTCGTCGGGGCCCATGCATGCAGGTATATACTTTTTATACATTTTGCAAGATCTGTTTGTATAATAGTTATATTTATGCAATGCAATATGTGTCTATGACACAGATCTACATATTCACACACATAATTATACTTTCATATGCATGTTATTATACCCACACATATATTTATATATATGCATGTATATGTGTATGTTAATACATGCATTTGCATATTGCTTGATATTTAACATGTTGCATGTTAGCTTGATGCATTATCAGATGATTTGCATGCATAACATGTTTGCATTTTGATACAATGCTTTCATATAATGCCTGATATACTTGCATGTCAGCCTAGCGCGCCATTGGTGCACAGTACATTTTGCACATTATGGAGTGTACTTGCATAATGCATTTTGCATTTTAATGTAATGTGTCGCCAGAGCGTGGTGCATTTTGCATATCAGATGATGTATTTGCACGATGCCCCTGCATATTGCAAATATATGCATGGTATGAATGTGTTGCTATGCATTTCGATGCATGGGGGGATGTTTTTTGCAACGATCAGCTACGTAAATGACCTATGTTGATAATTATGCTGTGTTTTGTTTTGGAATTTGTTGAAGTCTTCTATCCGCTTATATACATGTTGCACATACGATGACATTATTTAACAACACGTTGGGTTTCATTTCATCTTTTGCAAGCTATTGTTTTTTTCAATATTCAAGTTGTGGAGTTGTACTTCAACTTGTAAATGAGTTGCATGTCACATCAGGAGTCTTCCACATGTTGTTTGCAAGCAAGATGATTTATCTAACGTGACAACCTTGCACTGTAAATGTACTACCTTAGTTTACAAATGGCTCACGATTTTTACTGTGAATTCTCTGCTTTCTCTTACAAGTGAATTATAGTGTTTATATGCATAGTGTATTTTGCATGCTGAATGACACATTTGTATAATGCACCATGGTCGTTATGCAAGTGACTATTGCTGACAAATTGACAAGATTTCATCTTGGAATCTACAAACGCCTTCTGTTCACTTGTATGAGTGTTGTAGATTCAGTGGCATCATCTAACAGCGCATTGGGCCTCATTTCATCTCATGCAAACTGTTATTTTCTTCAATATTCAACCCGCAGAAGTATAATTCCACTTGCAAACACATTGTACGATGCATCAGGAACCTTTTACCTGTTGCTTGCAAGTGAGTTGATTTAACTGGTGTGGTAGCCTGGTGTCGCAAATTTACTGCCTCAATTTACCAGCGACCTGTAGTTTTTACTACTGATTCTTTGCTTTTACTTAAAAGAGGAAAAGATGCAATATAACATAAGTATTGATATATCATCAAAAATTTATCTTGATCGGTCACGAATCTCGAGGCAAAAATCAAGTTGGTGACTTCAAAAATTAAATCTGGGATCACCTAAACTCTGATGTTAGTAAACTTACAGTCGAACTGATCGTCTCGGAAATACGAACCCAACGACAACGAATTCAACTCGATCCGAGCCCAAATGAGTCCAAATCAAGGACCATAAGCACTATTGGAAAGTTCGTACCACAAATTGAGTTACCAAACAGTCTCTAAACTTGACAAGCTTATAGGAGAATCGAGCGGCTCGACGAGACAAATCCAACGAGCCCAAGATTACCGAATTCCAAAGTCATTAAGACCTTCAAATGTCTGATGAACGGTGCTTGATCAAGGGATTCAATATAAGCCGTCCATCCGGCCACTCCCTATTTTCCCCCGATCTCACACCTATTTACAAGCTATGTCACTCCAGAAAATCTATAAATAGACTCATCATTTCTCATGAGAGGGGGAATTAAGCAAGAAGCATGAAGAAGAAGAGGAGAAGAGAAGAATAGGAGGGAAGAGACTTCTCCTCCTCGAACACCGCCGGAGTTCCGCCCGAACTCCAAATGACGCTGGAATTCTGCCCGACTTCCACGGTACACCGAAATTCTGCCCCTTCCACGGGACACCAGAATTCTATCCGACGCTCAAGTGACGCCGAAATTTTGCCCAAGTAATGCCGGAGTTTCACCCAAACTTCAACTGACTCCGGAATTCTGCTCGACCTCCAAATGACGCCGGAATTTCGCCCGACCTCCAAGTGACGCTGGACTTCTACTGGTTAGCAGACTTTCACTGAACATCTATCAGAAGATGGATTTCTTTCCATTGTTGGACTTCTACCTGACGTC